AACTCTGATTAAACCATTTTTCTAACATTGTTCAGTGTAAATTTTGGGGGAAATGCTGTGTGTATATGAATAAGGAAAAGTGGGAAAGGCTGACGCCAAGAGAGGAGAGGAAGGTGCACACTGCACAAGAGAGGAGGAGAGAAAAGAGAGCTGGGTTGTTGTTCAGAGAGGTGAGGGTCCTGGCAGGAAAACGTGGGACTGAAAGCAGCCCTCCTTTCAGCCCCACGCCATCCCACCAGGACCCTCCCCTGAGTATAAGCTGGGGCATTTTCAGCCTAGAAAAGGGCTGAAAAACTAGGGTTATACTTAAGTATATACAGTAATATATTTTCCATTAGAAGAGATCAGATGCATCATTACTGCAGAACAAACAAATCAGAAAAATCCCACCAGTTCATGGTGGAAATCACAGTTGTTTTCGACATTTGGGTGCTTTTTAATAGAAGCTCAATTTAAATACAGGGAAATAATATTTCCCCCTTGCAAAGAAACTACAAGTCAGATAACGATATTGCTGAATTTTTGTTTCAGATCAAAGGACTTTTTAAAAAAGGAATGGTTGGATCTTCTAATATACACAGACTAAGATTCAATTTATCCGACTTTGAATGTACAGAACAATTATTCCCAAATGGGATTTTTAAAAAATTAATCAGCATCAGAGAAGCACCTGGGCCAAAGCTTGCTCTGGAATCCTACTGGGAAAACTGTTTTCAGGTGATGGAGTGTGACAGTGTGCCCAAGGGAGAAGCTGGCTAAGAAAGTGCACAGAAAATTTCCATCTTTTATAAAGGGCTAACTTCAGCATTTCATTATGCCATCATAATTTTCAGACTTGGCCACAGAAGCCTTAATAAATCAAGATGAATACCATGGATTGTGTGGCTGGGGAAAGATTAAAATAGCACCCACCACCAGGCAAGAAGCAAAATAAGAATCCCAGAGGTCCTTCTTACTGCTAGTAAACATTACTGGTAAAGACCAAATGACTCATTTTGTAGCCCCTAAGAAAACCCTATGGAGTCACTATAAGTCAACAGGCAACTTGAAGGCACACAGACATAAAATACATGGAATTATATGCAAACTACAGCTCTCTAGTCAGCTCCTCCTGCACTGGTGGAAAAAGAGGCTACCTGGAGCAAGGACAAGTTCAAATCCCAAAAGTGGAGGAAAAGGGCTTTGGGGCATTGATACAGGGCAGTGTGACTGGAATTGCTAAAGTCACTACAGGGAAAGCCAAGGTGTCACTGAAGCAGCCCACTACAGTGCTGCAACACACTGCATTTGACAAGGAGAGTCTTCTGAGTGCGTACAGCCAATGGATAAGAAACTGACTGTAACCAAAGAAGCACAGGTTGGTTGACAGGGCCCCATTAGTATAACAGAAGGACCTTCACTGTCCATAAGACAAAGCTGTTTTATGCCAATCCTACTGGTAGAATTCAAATACACAGCCATGTTAGTCTTGATCAGTTTGCAAATGGATCTTGTAGAACCTTAGAGCAACAAAACACCTTTTCTCAGCCTTAAAGGTTTCCACATCCCTTTGAATGTTAAGGCTATATACAATATGCCTAGCTCCATAGGGTTCAATATGGCTTGTTGTTGTTGTTGTTCATTTGTTCAGTCATTTCCAACTCTTCGTGACCTCATGCCAGAGCTCCCTGTTGGCCATCACCTCCCCCAGGCTCCTTCAGAGTCAAGCCAGTCACTTCAAGGATGCAATCCATCTTGCCCTTGATCAGCCCCTCTTCCTTTTTCCTTCCATTTTCCCCAGCATGATTGTCTTCTCTAAGCTTTCCTGACTCCTCATTATGTGGCCAAAGTACTTCAACTTTGTCAATATGGCTTATCCCCAGACAAATGGGTTTAGGATTTTTCAGTCTTAGTGGTGGTTCTGCATAACAACTGTGGCTCCAGTATTTCCATGCCTGACAGAACACAAGGCCCCATTTGAAAATACAGGTTGTACTTCAACCCTGTTTGCTAAAGTGTTTTGTTTTGTTTTTTGTTGTTATTTCAGAAAGGATACTTCAGCTCAGAATAGAAGGGCAACATCCTTGAAAAACACAGCTATATACATTTGTCAGTATCCACTCATGAAAGTTTCTAGTATCCAATTGAACTAAAGTCTATTTACTTAGCAAGTCATCCAACATTTAAAAAAAATCCTCTTGTGCAAGCAACATAATTTTATGATTCAATCTGCTAGCAAATATGCTAGACATGAAGAACCACAATTGATTTTTTAAATAGAAATGAGGTAGTGGGAGCTGTACACTGTAGATCCCAAGGGGGAAAAGTACAGAACATTTTTGAGACAAATTGTTGAACACGAAAAAAATACTGTTAACTCAGCTTTCACATGTTCAGCTTTCACATGTTCAGTTTTTGCTTTTTCTCCATAGACCTCTGGAACAACATACAAGTACAGAAGGTTCCAACATCACAGAAACTGTAATATGTTCCTTTATAGCAGTGTTTCTCAACCTGTGGATCCCCAAATGTTTTGGCCTTCAACTCCCAGAAAACCTAACAGTTGGTAAACTGGCTGGCATTTCTGGAAGTTGTAGGCCAAAACACCTGGGGACCCACAGGTTGAGAACCAATGCTTTATAGGCTTGCTCAACATTTCTATGCAGAAACATTTTCTCCTGAACAGTGGCCCTCAATGTTTGGTCCTTCATACATTGTGGAGGTCTCTTAGCTATGCTGGCTAGGGCTTACATGGATTTGGCGGTCTGAAATGAACAGGAAGTTGAGAACTACTACTATTGAGCACTGAGTACTACTCATTTCTTAGACTGACCAAGAAGGCATCCAGGGAAATCCATTAAGTAGAGCCTCTCTCCTACTCTTGTTCCTCTGAAAATGGTATAAAATAGCATTCTTGCTTCTGAATTTGAAGGCTAAACAGGACCTCCATAACTAGGAGCCACTGATAAATGTATCTTTCATGGATTCCTTCAGCTCAACTTTTGAAGCCACTGAATTATCCTGTAGGCAGAAAAAAGTCCTATCCTGAATAATCGAATCAGAATTCTAGTGAACTGAATTCTGCCCACAATAAGAAGTCAAGTGAGCTGCATTACAGGTCTACAGGAATGTTTGTGGGGAATAAATCAAGAACATACTGGGAAAAGTAAAGGTTTCCCCTGACATTAAGTCTAGTTGTGTCCAACTCTGGGAGGGGGGAGTGGTGCTCATCTACATTTCTAAGTCAAAGAGCCAGAGTTGTCCATAGACACCTCCAAGGTCATGTAGCCAGCATGACTGCATTGAGCACCGTTACCTTCCCACAGAAGTGGTACCTATTGATCTCCTCCCATTTGCATGCTTTCAAACTGCTAGGTTGGCAGAAGCTGGGCCTAACAGCAGGAGCTCACCCTGCTCCCAGGATTTGAACCACCAACCTTTAGGTCAACAAGTTCAACAGCTCAATGGTTTAACTCACTGCATCACTAGGGGGCCCAAGAACTTAAATATCCAAAAACATGCACTTGAGGTAGAACACATGTTCTGAAGAGTTCTCAGATCCTTTTTTGCAAACAACTTTGACCAACACAATTTCTTCCTCTGAAAACAACTACTATTTTTGTCTGCTACAAGAAAAACCATTAACGGGTAATGTGTAAAAAACGGGGACTACTGCTTACAATATTATAGGTGACTATTTCATAAAATATCTACCTTTAGGCCTAATTCTGTGTAAATACTACACAAAAAGTGATCTGAGGCTATTAAATGTTTCTGTCTGGGGAAAACAGTTGAGAAGTCTACATAATCGATATCTAGGATGCTTCATGTGTGTGTGTTATTTTCATATAAGTAAAGACACTTTCAATCCCAAAATCATTTTCAGTGCCATTTTGAAGAGACAAATTCAACAATTTGCTCCATACTACCATTTGACGCATCCACAAGTGGCAAGGGATAAGCTGCACAGACTGCCCATCAGGTCACACACATTTGTACCCTAAAATGTCAGGGTGAGAGATTGCAAATTGTTATTTCGATTATTGAATGCAGTCTCTGTGCACTCATAGTTGCTTAGCAACATTCCTCCATCCTTGCTGAGGAAGCAGCTCTCTTTCAAAAGGTATTCTCAGGGAGTTTATCAGGAACAGCAACAACCCCATGAGTTCGGCAATTAAAGCACATATTCTGCAGTCCATTCTCACACAACAAAACATCTTAATTTTCAACAGGACAAAACACTATTTTATGTTTGGCAAGGAATTTACCTCCAAACAAATAGCTAGTTTTCTCCTTTTAACCATGTGCTGTCATCTTTAACCAGTATTTTAGAATTAGTCAGTATATTGGAAGTAGTGGGATCATTAGGTGGGATGATTACTGAATGGAAAAATCTACAGAAGGAAGTAATGCTTCTGAGCAAAGAAAATGAATTGAACGTAGAAGGATGCAGTCTTAGAAGGAAACATTCACAACAATATGCTGCATATCTATTGTATGGAGGGGAAAGTATACGCTGATGAGACAATAGTGACAGACTGATATAAATAATTCAAAGGTTCATATTAATTGATTACTATAATTGAATAATGAATTCAATCACAACAATATACTTTTCAAGTCTCCTTTTGCATTTCCATTTGCAATTTGACACCAAACTTATTAGGGGAGAGTGGAATTAAGAAAAAAAATGGGATATAAACAGTCAAATTCTTAAGCAGAAAAAGACCATATATCTAAATGACACTGATTCATTCTCAATGGAATTTAAGATCTTTTGTAATTATATTTGGACATGGGCTGCAGTCCAAAGAACTGATATGTGTACACTGGGGAAAACAGCAAGCAGAGCTTAGACTGATGATCAGGTGCTCCACTGTGCAGTGGGGAAAAGTGCTGAAACATCAGTTCAAGCTTCAAATACACACACTGTTTCTGATGAGCTCCTATCACTTCTTTCCACTGCAGCCTTAAACATCTGTCTTTAAAAAATCTATTAAAATGTGATGCAAGCTTCCTACCCTCCTCTGGTGTGATGTTGGCTATGTGTTGAGATTCGATATGGCAGGGCTCTTTCTCCCAGGTTCTCCAAATTCCTCACCACTGCTCCCCTTTCCATCAAAGCTTCCACTGTGCGTTTTAGTGTTGCAGCTGTCTCCGGCTATAAATAAAGGAAGAATATTCACAAATGTGTTAATCTAGTCCAGTTAATGACACTTACTGCTGATACTTACATAACTAGAAAATAATGAAGAAGAAATTAGATCCTAAAGCCAAACCTTTCTCATAATTTCTGAATATATAATGTCAAATGTCAAAACAGTGAATCTGTATCACTGTACATTTTCAGAATTGCATATTCAAATACTACTGATTTAGAAAAACATGACTGGTTGTGTTCCTTAAAGAACAGAGGGGGTATTTTAAGTTTTGGAATGGAAACTTTAAAATCGAAATCCAAGTCTGAATCAAATAAACCAAGAATTAAATACAATTTCAAGATATGGTGGACAAGAAAGTCCAAAAGCCTGATAGATTCAAGGACTGCATTTAACATAATTCAACTTAAGGGTGGAGTGGGGACAAATATTATATGACGTTAGCACCTCAAGCCAGAGGGAAAAGAGAGCTATCATAGAATGGATAAACACAAGACAACTGGGCAATATTGTGAGAATGAGTGTCTGAATTAGAAAAATAACATTCTACAGTGATCCAGAATAACTTTGTAGCAAATGTAAGTGTTTGGCAATATTGTGAGAATGAGGAGCTGGCAGCAATGAAGCGAAAGAAGAGGAGGTTAGAGTGCGTGTGGCGCCAGAATCCCACAAATCCAGCCCAAACACACCTGAATGCCTTTTTAAGGTCCTACGGTGTGGCAATAGAGGCAGCTCAGAAAACATTCATCACAGCCAATATTGCATCAGCGAAGAATCGTCCAGCCGAGCTTTTTCGAGTTGTCAGGGGCCTGTTAAACCCGCCAAAAAGCGAGGCCTCGGATAACTCGGTGGCTCGCTGTGAAGCATTTGCTCGATCCTTCGCGGATAAAATTGAGCGGATTCGGTCTGGCTTCGACGTCATGTTAACGGCAGTCTCTGGGGATGTAACGAGAGCATCTGCTTGTCCAGTTTTGTTGGATTCGTTTCAATTGGTTCAGCTTGAGGATGTGGACAGGATCCTTGGAGAGGTGCGACCCACCACATGCATCCTAGACCCCTGCCCTTCCTGGCTGATCAAGGAAGCCAGAGGGGGTTTGGCGGGGTGGGTGAAGGTGATGGTTAATACCTCCTTACAGGAAGGAAAATTTCCAGCGAGCTTAAAACAAGCTATTATAAAACCGCTGTTGAAGAAACCATCACTGGATCCCACTCAATTCGACAACTATTGGCCAGTTTCCAATCTCCCCTATTTGGGCAAAGTCATGGAACGTCTTGATCCGGCACAGTCTGGCTTTAGGCCGGGACATGGAACTGAGACAGCCTTGGTCGCCTTGGTAGATGATCTGCGCAGGGAACTAGACAGGGGGAGTGTGTCCCTGTTGGTTCTGCTGGACCTCTCAGCGGCCTTCGATACCGTCGATCACGGTATCCTTCTGGGCGCCTCATGGATATGGGGCTCGGAGGCACTGCTCTGCGGTGGCTCCGATCCTTCCTTGAGGGACGGTCCCAGAAGGTGTTACTGAGTGACACCTGTTCGGCCCCACAACCGTTGTTGTGTGGAGTCCCACAGGGTTCAATCTTGTCCCCGATATTATTTAACATCTACATGAAGCCGCTGGGAGAGATCATTCGGAGTTTCGGACTAAGATGCTATCTCTATGCAGATGACGTCCAAATCTGTCACTCCTTCTCACCTGTCACCAAGGAGGCTGTCCAGACCTTGAACCGGTGTTTAGCTGCTGTATCGGACTTGATGAGAGCTAACAAATTGAAATTGAATTCAGACAAGACAGAGGTCCTACTGGTCAGTCGTAAGGCCGAACAGGGTATAGGGTTACAGCCTGAGTTAGATGGGGTTACACTCCCCCTGAAGACGCAGGTTCGCAGCTTGGGAGTGATCCTGGACTCATCGCTGAGCCTGGAACCCCAGGTCTCAGCGGTGGCCGGGAGAGCTTTCGCACAATTAAAACTTGTGCGCCAGCTGCGCCCGTACCTTGGGAAGTCGGATCTGGCCACGGTGGTCCACGCTCTTGTCACATCCCGGCTGGATTACTGCAACGCACTCTACGTGGGGTTGCCTTTAAAGACTGCTCGGAAACTCCAACTAGTCCAGCGAGAAGCAGCCAGATTGCTCACTGGAGCGGCGTACAGGGAGCACACCACCCCCCTGTTGCGTCAGCTCCACTGGCTGCCGATCCAATTCCGAGCACAATTCAAAGTGCTGGTTTTGACCTACAAAACCCTATACGGTTCCGGCCCAGTGTATTTGTCCGAACGGATCTCCCTCTACATCCCACCTCGAAGTTTAAGATCTTCTGGGGAGGCCCTGCTCTCAACCCCGCCAGTGTCACAAGTGAGGCTGGCGGGGACGAGGAGCAGGGCCTTCTCAGTGGCGGCCCCCCACCTGTGGAACTCACTCCCCGGGGAGATTAGATCGGCGACTTCCCTTCTAGCATTTAGGAAAAAACTAAAAACCTGGATGTGGGACCAAGCTTTTGGTCACTCTGATAACTAAATCAAGGACCTGGGAACAGACAAGGACAAACGGAATAGAACGGATGTATGGACTCTGATATATGGACTCTGACATGAGATTGTTTTAGGATTTATGATTTTATTATGTATTGTTATGTACTGTTGTTTTAATTTAACTGCTGAATTTTATATTCTTTGGATTACTTGTTGTGTGATTTGGGCATCTAATTGTGCCCTTCATGTAAGCCGCCCTGAGTCCCCCTCGGGGTGAGAAGGGCGGGGTATAAGTGAATGAAATAAATAAATAAATAAATAAATAAATGAGTGTCTGAATTGGAAAAATAACATTCTACAGTGATCTAGAATAACTTTGTAGCAAATGTAAGTGTTTGGGCTAAAGAAGAACCTGAAGACCAGAGGCATACACAACAAAATGGAGGAAGATGCAATGCGTGATGGCATGGAGGTTTTGACAGCCAAAAGTGAGGAACATCTGAACCATGAACTGAAGTTTACAAACATGATAAATGGAAAACATCAAGCATTGGTACAGTCAAAGAAATATAGCACTGGGGGGGGGGGGGGATTCCCTTGTCCTGATGGGTTGAATAGGAACTAAGTTGGAGAACAAGGGGGACATGAGAGATTGTCCCTTCGATATAACGGATTAAGCGTGGACCAAGTTGAGGAACAACAAAGGGAACCTCCCCAACATAAGTGTGGCCAGGCGTACCAGAACTAAAGACATCAAAGGAACTGATAATTACATGAAAATGAACATTATCACCATGAAACAAAGAAGCCATAGACTAGAATTGCTCCTAAATGATAGAAAAGGGAAACCTCCTCTGATATGGCTTTGCTGTTGAATGAAGTGCTGCATCAGCGTTCCATCACTTCTACAAAGGAAATTGATCAGTCCTTTGTGAAAGGATTGGTGAGTATGTGTGTGTGAATGGAACTGCTTGGTGCCAAGGCAATATATGGTTTTAAATGCTGAATAAAAGTTACATGCATTGTGTTTAAACCCAGATCTGGTGTCACTGGTATATTCTTCAGAGCCTATAGTCTCAAATGTACAGATTAGTCAGTTTCTCCTCTTCTCCAAAGAAATAACACTAACTGCATATTTGTGACAACATCATATTGTAATTATAATCTTGCTTCTCAGATCCAGAAATTTATACACATTACTGAGGTCACATTACAGGAAAATATGTATGAGTTTCTCTCCCAATCTGAGAAAAGAAAATAGTATATTCTTCCTAAGATTCATAAAGACAACTTTCCCTGTCCTGTTATTTAAGGCTGTGGTTCAATTTTGGAACCTGTCTTTATACATTTTTCAACCATTTGTGCCTGAAATAGATTTATATTAAATATACCACTTGCTTAATGTAATAAGGCTTCATATCAGTTTATTTAATATAACTACAAATTTATTTAATAGAGCTATAATCATGGAACACAGTGTGGCCTGTAAGCCATGTTTGAGTGACATCGTAAGGCAGAAAGATACCAAGGAGAATTCTACTTAATTCTATACAAATATTACATTTCATTTGATATGTGTTTCAGACAGGATCCACTATTTAGATATGGAAATTAAAAGCAGAAATTGTAGGTTTGAAACGAATGTTTATAAAAGACCTATGAATGTTAATTTCTTTTCATGATATGAGAGTCACCAATCCCAGCACTTGAGAAAAATCTCCCATATTTCCAAATGCTAAGACTGAAAAGACACTGTATTAATAAAGGAATATTCTTGAAACAGGTTGATATCCTGAAGCAGCAATTATAGGATAGGATGCTCCCACTCCCCCAAAAACATCTGATAGGAGTTAATGCTCCCACTCCCCCAAAAACATTCCTGAACCGACTCAGAAGCGGAGTTGGCAGATCAAAAGACAACCTGGCAAAATGGCACTACCTAGAAGAATCCTCCACTTTGTGCGACTATGGAGCAGAACTGTATGCTTGCCCACAATGTCCTGTCTCATGCATAGAGGAAGAATTGTTTAAAGATACAGACAATGGAATCACTGTTGTCTGTTTTTGATCTAAAACAGTGGTTCCCAACCTGTGGTCTGCAGACCACCAGTGGTCCTCAAGAACTAAAATATGGTCAGGGGCCTCACCGTTACTACACCATTGCAACGATAACAACTGGTCTCACAAAACCCTCTTATAGTGCCAATGCTTATTCAACATGGTTTTCTGTGGGCGAGCAGATTATGACTACTGGGTGGCATATGTTCTGTATCAGAAACTACAGTCGATGTGGTCTATCCAATGCAATTTTCTGAATCAGCACCCCAAATAACCAAACCGTATCTAAAGTTGACTACAAACTGATTCGTAACCCTTTTGGTACTAAGATTGGAGAGTGGTTCCTGGTCAAAGTGGTTCCTGTTCAAGTAGTCCCTCGTCAAAAAAAGGTTGGGAATCACTGGTCTAAAACTATCTAGCAGCTTGGGATCTCTTTATTTTATCACTTTTAGATAAACTATTTTTGCAACACTTT